ATTTTATTAAAATAAAATCTTAAACCACTAACTAATAACAAAGGACGTAGATAACAAGAAGGGACAACTCGTAATAATTGTAGGGAAAGTGCGCAACAGGGGCGTGCCTTCTTTTTTGCTCTAGTGCGTTTTTTGATTGGACGAAAAGAGAAGGCACGCCCCTGTTGCGCACTTTCGACACAATTGTAACGAGTTGTCCCTTCTTGTTGTCTACGTTCTTTGCTAATAATTTAAAAGTCGGAAGGAGCACCGCGGTTTAGAAGTTTGCAGAAACAATGGCTAAGCTCGAGATAAGTTATTTTTGCAAACGTCCTCAGATTTTACTGCTGAGTTGCAACTTTTCATTTGACGGGCTGTGATTTCTTCAATTTTACATTTCAGAAATTTTGTGGCTCTCGCGCAGGAATTGCGCTTGTTGGCGATGAGTTTTCGGGGAGATGTATGATCATTGAATTTATGAATGAATGAGTTTGGCCTTGAAGAATATGCGCATGCGTTTATGAATGAATTTGTTATTGTTGGATTTTAGTGGCATATGCGTATATGTACATATGTACGTATATTTGTATGGATGTACAAACATACATATGTTAGGAGGAAGATCGCAAGAGTACATTTGTACAAATTGGTGTAAATTATTTATTGATCTTAAATGTTCAATTTATTATTTTATTTTATTTGGGGAGAAAGGGATTTTTCATTCATAAATTACAACTTTAAATCTTCCATACTAAGCTTAGTATCCAGCTCTTAAGAAAAGCAAAAACTCCATATAAAATGATGTACAAGAAATGGCTAAGAAATTTTCTTGAATCAAATTTCCTTAAGGCAGTTTCTTCAGAAATTTAGTACGCTTTCTACTACGGTTTTCTAAAGTTTTTTGTGAAAAAAGAGCACAAGGCAACCCAGGTTTGAAACAGAAATATATGCCCGTTCCATTATTTCTTGAGGAAAGTGTGAGGCAACAGGCTGTGAGGTATAAAAAATGTCAAAATTCCTTGGACACACACGCGAAATAATGGCAATTTTTTCTTGACCCTTTTCTTAAGAGCTGGATACTAAGCTTTAAAGAGGAAGTTTGTAAAGCTCTTGCATAGCGCATGCATTTAATTTCCTTACATTGGTTTAAAATTACAATATGTATATAGAAAATCTATGCACATGCGCTTGTTAAATGTCCACGGCAAATAAACAAAAAGAGGCGCGGCCATATTTTTTGTTATTTCATTTCTTTATTTCTATCATCGGTTACTCTTTCTTTAACGTTTTTTGTCGCCGCGAAATCAAATGTGCGGCGAATTCATTTACGAAAATGGATGTTAAAACGGACGCGAACTCCTCATCTCAACCTTTCAGACCTCACTCGCTGACTTTAGCGAGTTGTCGCTTCATATACATTTACGTTCTTTGTTGGCGTACATGTTTTTCTTAATAGTAATAATAGATTGGCGCTTCCACATATGTTAGTGTTCGCCGAGCTGTTTGTGTTGCTTTGCTAATATACGGTGTCGTTGATTTCTCAAGTAAAAAAAAATTTAATGCTATATATTTTGAAAACTAGAAGGCTCCCGCACCTAAAGCGGTGATCTTCAGCTTTCCAACGGTACTAATTTAACCCCTCAAATCGAGGGTCCTTAAAGTAAAGTTTGCCTGTCGTGGGAATGTTATGAATCCTATAACCGATGATAGTTAATGTGATTAAAGGCCCGTCCACATACAACTTTGGCGTTGCGTTGGCGCTGGTGTCACTTTGACAGCAGCGCGAGTACCGCCCGTGCTTGCTACAATGAACGCTTAGCAGAGAATACTTTGGTCACTAAATTAACATACTAGCGGAGATAAATCAAAATTTTATATCAATAATTGCATTAAAAACTATATTTCTTGTCCGCATTTGATTAAAAAGGAAAATTAAATCACATAATTTTGATTATTTGGAACAGCTGACGAACGAAGCGCGCGAAAAATTGCGAGTTGGTCATCTTTTTGCGTTGTGTTGGCGTTGGCGTTGCCCAACTTTGTTTATGTGAAGACTTTCATATAAATGCATGGATTCATAGTCAGCTGTCGAAGCGACGCCAACGCCAACGCAACGCCAAAGTTGTATGTAAACGGGCCTTAAGGCCGGTCCACATAGAACTTTCGCGTTGGCTTTGGCGTTGGCGTTGGTTTGACAGAACGCACGTTAAAAGTATGCTTGCTACAATGAACGCTTGGCAGCGAATCCTTGGGCCACTAAATTAACATATTAACGACAGATAAATTAATATTTCATATCAATAATTGCATTAAAAACGATATTTCTTGCCCGCACTTGATTAAAAAGGAAAAATATTTCACATAATTTTATTTATTCGCAACAGCTGACGAGCGACGCACGCGAAAAGTTGAGAGTTGGCCATCTTTTTGCTTTGTGTTGGCGTGAGCGTTGTCGAATTTTGGCTATGTGGACGGCTGCATTTGAATTCATGTATTCATAGTCAGCTGTTGAAGCGACGCCAACGCCAACGCAACGCCAAAGTTCTATGTGGACGGGCCTTAAAGGTTATGGCCATGGCTATGGCTATGTCAGTATGGTATATCACCACTAATTGAACCTTATACTAGGTTCACATATAAGTAGATTATCCTCATTTTCGAGCTTATCACCCTAAAACTATGTTCACATAACAATATTATCTCAATCAAAGCTCGTTTTTTAATCACCCCGTTTACACAGGCAAATCTCAGATTATTAGCCGTGAAATTTGTTGTGCTTGTTATTCTAACATCTCAAGGAAAAGTTATGTTTCTTCTCTGTGCCGCCGTGATCACTTTTTTCTGCTATATTAAGCACCTTAAATATATTTTAACTTAGTATTTTATTCAAAATTCTTTTACAAACCTCTCTTCCTTGCTAGCGCAAAAATAATCGATAAAACTTGGTTGGACACCGAAAAGTTATCGGTTAAATCTGAGATTATTTTATAATTACAGATTAACAAGAGACGAATTTTGTATGGCAAATCTCTTTTGCTTATTACAGATTAGGGTGTTAAGCTCGAAAATGAGGATAATCTACTTATATGTGAACCTAGTATAATCTGTAATTATAACAAGAGATTAGCCATATAAAATTCGTCCCTTGTTAATCTGTAATTATATAACAATCTTTGATTAAACCGATAACTTTTCAGTGTCCATCCTAGTTTTATCGATTGTTTTTGCAAAAAAGAGGATAAATGCCAAATGTAAAAGTAAACAAAAATGTACGCCAGCAAGGAAAAGAGGTTTGTAAAGGTATTTTTAAAAAAATGTTAAGTTAAAATATATTTATATTGCTTATTATAGCCTAAAAACGTGATCACGGTGGCACGGAGAAGAAACATAACTTTTCCTTGCACAACAAATTTGACGGTTAATAATCTGAGATTTGCTTGTGTAAACGGGGTGATTAAAAAACGAGCTTTGATTGAGATAATAGTTGCGTTCAGTGTTGCCAACTCGTCGGATTTCGCCCATAATTTGGGATTTCCGCACCATAAAAGGACGCGTGGGATTTTGCGTCTCATTATGGGATTTTTAGCTGTATACAATTTTATGGTTCTAATGTTTTTTTTGCTGTTAATTGAAACGTGACGGATGGGACATTTAAACTATATACATTTTTCAATTTCCCCAAGAGTGACGGCTGAGACAACAACGACACCCACCCCTCTGAGGGGATGGATTCGTTCGCCATTTAGACAAACTTTATATCAAAATATTTCTTGCATAGCGGATTTTTCGAATGTAGTTAGTATAATGATAAGGTTCATTTTATGCTTTTATGGGATTATTATATTTGAAAAAAAAATTAGCTTGTGATGGGTGGGACAGTATTTTATGACTGGTGGATCGAGTCACTGTTGACGACACATAGGATTTTTGCACTTTTTCCCATAAAACCATGAATTTCATATTAAAGCCGAAGAGATGAAAAAGCAAAAAAGTAAACGAACAGGAAATTAGCCATTACTTGCAAAAAACCGGAAGAAGAAGACACACCAGCTGACTTCGTTTATGTTTTGTTTGTAAACAAACTGAAATTCATGTTGCCTCCATAGAAGAAAAAAGGAAAGTGAACGTTCAATGTTCGCCAGGAACATTTCTAGAAGTAAAAACTAGTTGGCGCTATCATAAAGTCACATAGCAGGCAGCCAAAAAGCATATAAATACCACAACTCGGAAAATGAAATTTTGTTTGTTAACAAAAATTGCTACCTTATGTTTTGTGATCATATGTTTTCGTGTTGGATAATTTTTGCTGACTAAAATTTTGCCAGTACAAAATGAACGCTTCTCTTGCATCAAAATGAACGCTTGCTCTCTCAATTTTTGTGTGTTGGATAATTTTTTGTCGTTATCGAATGCCATCCAGAAAAATTTTAAAAACTATTACAAATTTTTGACTTGTCGAACGCACCTTATATTGATATGTGAACATATGGGGTGTTCACAGTTCGTTCCAAATAGTGTCTCAAAATGTAGCCGTCTACATTTTAAGACGTTTTCTAACCGTAAAATCTGTGGTGTTGTTGTTTCCCATTTAAAATTGGAAAACGACGCCGTCTACATTTTGTGTTTTTTACGCGTCTACATTTTGCAACCTCGCAGCAGGGTTGCTTTATGGCAATTGGGCACGTTTTCTGTATTTGCATTTAATTTGAGCGCAATTTCTGATGAAAAGAAACAAATCAAGGAAAAGAAATAACAAATATTAGGAATTGGCAATTAAGTTAAATAATTACAATTTTTCAGAAACAAAATCGAAAGGCGACATATAAAAAAGCACGCAAAGAAGAAATGTCTGGCAACACCAGCAAAGTTTTGAGACGATTTTGCGACGACTGCTGGAAAGGGGTGCTCACAGTTGATGCTAAAGATGTCTCAAAATGTAGACGTCTAGGTTTTCAGACACAATTTGGAACGAACTGTGAACACCCCAATAGTTTTAAGCAAGAACAAATATATCGATTATCGCCTTTTTGTAAACGATATCAAATTGTAAACAATGGTAGTGTTGACTGGAGGTTCAACGAATTTTTTCTCAACCAAGGCAAAACAACCAAGAAAAGTAAAAGTCATGTCAACAACGGATCACAATGAGTATATAAAAAATTTGTACGATTAAATCAATGATGAAACTATTTGAATTGTAGCATTAAAATAATGGGAAAAGCAATTGTGTGCGAGGATTGCACGCTTAGCGGTGACATCACTATTTCTCCTGGATGTGTTATACACCCTAGCGCCACCATTATCGCTGAGGCTGGACCCATTGTGCTAGGAGAAAATTGTATTGTAGAAGAATACTCAACTATTGCTTTCCGTCTTCCAGTAGGCCAAAAATTTTACCCTTCCACGGAAGTGCGAACTTTGAATGTTGGTGCAAATAATGTATTTGAAGTAGGCAGTACCGTTGAAGCTTGTCATATTGGGGAGAAGAACGTATTTGAGAGCAAATGTTACGTAGGGCCATGCGTTTTTGTTTCTAGTGGCTGTATTATTGGCGCTGGAGTTAAACTAATAGCAGAACAGAAACTTCAGGAAAATATTGTTTTATACGGAAGGAATTGCCTACAAAGAGAAGCCATCGATAAGCATGGGGTATGAAATTCACACAAAAAGGTAGCAAGTTATTTTCCATTTGTTATTATTTTCAGTCTCAAACATTACAAATCGACTTTCTCAGAAAGGTCTTGCCAAATTATCACCACTTGCGGAAACCAAATTACGATCCCAAAAAGATGCGCATAGCCGCCTAAAGTAAAAAAAATATTGTGCAAACTAATTATGTTGTAACAGACTTATTATTTATTTCATTAAACGATTTAACTTCCGAGTCGAACGTGTTTATGGTGTGATCACAAAGTGATTCCAAATCTTCTAAACCCCGCTTTAATATGTCTATTGCTCTGTTTTGATCCGATTGTATACGAAAGTGCATTTTGTTCTCGGTCGGATGTGGAATCGTGTAGCCGCAGAAATCTACGTCTGAATATCTGCTTATAATTGTTTTCAATGCATTCCCCAAGGTGTGGCCCTCGTTCTGGAATACAAACGTGCGCGAACCTTCACCATTGTTTTCATCACCTGCAACCTGTTCAAAAATAATTAATACATTATTTTGCCAAATATATGAAACGCTGAAATACCTCTGCTAACGCACCCATTCTTGTACAAATATTTTGAAACTTTTGCAAAATCCCGATCCACGAAAATTCAACAAATCGGATATTAGTAATAATAATAAGTTATCGGTTTACACAAATATTGCCGATGTAAAATACCGTTTTTACGCCATGTTCACATTCACCATATATCATTCAATCAAAACAGGAATCTATGATCTTCATCAGTACGTTTATTATGCAGCGTTTCTGTTGCATTTAAAATGCAACATTTAGCACTTTCGAACATGTGTTTTCGAAGAGCGTTCGTGCTATGGCAGGGAAATGTTTAGTTGCGCTCACATCTTTTTTGGGGTGGTGGGCGGAAGGGGAGAAGGCGGTGCCCCCAAACGCCCCCCACTGGAAAGGGGACAGTCCCCGCTGTCTAAAAAGGCGTACTCCCTCCTTGGGCTCCTCCCACAGTCCCCCTAGGGAACCGTTTGAAAAAGGGGAAAAACGGAATTTTCTTAGGCAAACTGAGCAGTTTGAAGTGGAATATGACCCAACTAACAGAAACCGTGGGATTTTTTAATAAAAGAAATGCCAAATTAGATATCGGGTGATTTTGAATAAAGAATAAAAAAGTTAATTAAAAATAGAAAAAACAAGTTTTTATAAAAATAATGTTCTTTTTAACAAATGTATTTTTGGGTAGAATTCCTTTCTGCGTAGGCGGCCTTCGGCCGCACTTAGGGATTATAACCCTCAGGCAGTAGAATTCTCCTTTCTGTGTTGCCAAAGAAAGGGGCTGAACACCTCTTGCAGAGAACACCTTTCTGCGTAGGTGGCCTTCGGCCGCACTTAGGGATTATAACCCTCAGGCAGTGGAATTCTCCTTTCTGTGTTGCCAAAGAAGGGGGGCTGAACACCTTTTGCAGAGAACCCCTTTCTGCGTAGGCGGCCTTCGGCCGCTTTTAGGGATTATAACCCTCAGGCAGTAGGATTCTCCTTTCTGTTTTGCGAAGAAAAGGAGCTGAACACCTTTTGCAGAGAACACCTTTGTATATTTTTAATGCTTACTGGTTATATCCTATCTTCTTTTGTCTCTCATTCTTTTGCATATTTTGGAGTTTGTTAGCTGAACTCCGCCATTTAATTTGCATATGCAACCAAAGTCAGACGCGTGATTTTGAAGGTGTTTTTATTAATTGGTTAATATTAAAGTCGAAAAGCAAGTTATAATAATCGAGTAAAGTGTAAAGTGAAGGCGAATACAAAAATGTATTAGTGAAGTGGCTGCTTTAAGGAGAATAGGAATGATCAATTTACGATAATTTCCGAATTTTACAAAAAAGGGCATATTTCAAAACCAATTCGTAAATAAATTAGTGACCAAAATTTACAAAAGTGAGTGTTAAAATAATGTGTAGACCCTTGACTACAAGTGTGTGGTTTTTTTTTTGGATCGGGCCACCCCTTTGGACGGAATAGCCCGAAATAGTTGTGAGCGATACTAAACCCCACCCCTATCGCATTTAACAAATGTACATTTACACGAATCGTATGCTTTTGACAAACAGCAGTGTTCCAGACGCTTACTCAGATCCGTATCTATTACTACGTTTATACGCACGTATTATTTGCAAATAACAACAAAAAAAGAATTTTTCACCATCGAATAAACAGTGAGTTAGGTGTTTGCAAATTATTTTTATTTGGAAATAGCTTACGTATAAACGTAATATATGATGATCAATTTGCAAGGGAGAAGATAAAATGATAAAAACCCTACCGAAAAGGAAAAATAAATTGTAAGCAAAACATTCAATACAAAAACTTGAATTGTTTAAACCATAATCGAAAATTTATTAGTGCTGTCAATTAAAACTGCCTAAATATGAAACAAAACCAACAGTGTTGACCACAAAGGGATACATAATGCTCTGCAAGCAGTTCCTGATCGGGAGCCACAGAAGTGGCCACCCAAACAGACAGCTGCTTGAAGAGGAGCCCTCGCCTAGGCACGTCAGGAGGCATCTATATGAACTGACGGACGAAGTCCAGAGGTTCATTAAGCAACCTCTGGACCCGACAGCGTACAGACAGGCCCTGAACGGCATTCACAGGGACTCAGTCTCGAGTTATGTAGACTCTAGACCTGTGAATGCCGTTCTGGGCATACCACCCCCGGACATTGACGAGACAGAGCTTCATCTGCCTCGGGAGACACGCACTACACTTGCTCAACTTCGCTCCGGCTGCTACTGCAGCAGGTTAAACTCCTACTTGAGTAGGCTGAATGAGGATGTGCCGAACGAATGTCCGGCATGCGGAGAGACCCCACATGACTCGAACCATCTCTTCGCATGCCCGGAAAACCCGACAACCCTAACGGCCCTGTCCCTGTGGACAAATCCCACAGAAGCTGCACGCTTCCTAGGGTTGCCGTTAGTGGAACTTGACGACAACGACTGAGATACCAACCGATCTGGGCGGGGTTGTTGTAGCCGCTACAACAACAACAACAACAACAAAGGGATCCAGATTTCTATCAGCTTTACATCGATGTTGAATTTGCATGACTTTATCAAAATAACAAATGAAATCTCGATCGGCGATCACTGAAACGCAGCTAGCAACTGTGACTGTGTACTCGAAAAAGCAACGCTGCCGCTTTTTATCATTAAATCCTGTTCGAATTCACGATGAAGCGAACAAAGGTGGCGCCGTCCGACATACCGCTAATTTGGTCTTGCCGATTTTGACAATTCTGGTCTGGTCTGGTAAAAGACGCCTCAGAAACTTTAAATTTACCTAAATTTACTAACACTTGCCCAAAAGTAAACATTTTTTCACATTTTCCTTATTAATTCTGGGAAATGTTTAGTTATTGGTCCAACGTTTTGGGGGTGAAGGGCGGAGGGGAAGGAGGCGTGGCTCCCTAAACCACCCCCATTCGAAAGGGAACAGTCCACACTTTACGAAAGCCCCGCCCCTCTTCGGGACCTCCCGCAGACCCCTGGCGAACCGTTTGAAAATGGGGGGAAAAACGGCATTTACCGAGGCAAACTGAGCAGTTTGAAGTGAAATATAAGCCAACTAACCGTGGAATTTGGAAATGAAAAAATTATTCCAAGTTGGTTATCAGGCGATTTTGTATAAAAAAAGTAAACTAAGAAAAAGTTATAAAAAGAAATGTCTCTAAAAATGTTGTTATACAAAAAAAACGCGACAGGTAAAAATGTTATAGTATTAGTGACATGATAGTATTTTAGCGCAGAACTTCTTTCTGCGTAGGTGGCCTTCGCCCGCACTTCCGAAATATAACCTTCACTGAGTCGAATTCTCCTTTTTGTGTTGCCAAAGAAGGGGGGCTGAACACATTTGCGTAGGTGGCCTTCGGCCTTCGAATACATATTTCCCATGGAAAGGTTTATATTTTTAATGCATCTGGGTTATATCTTATTTTCTTTTGTCTCTCATCCTTCTTGTATACTTTGGAGTTGGGCAGCTGAACGCCGCCATTTAATTTGCATATGCAACCAAAGGCATACTCGGGATTACGAAGGTGTTTTTATTTAATAAATTGTAATTAATTGGTTAAAATTAAAGTAATAAAGAAAGCTATAACTAATCGAATAAAGTGTAAAGGGAAGGGGAATATATAAATGTATTGGTGAAGTGGCTGTTTTAAGAAGAATAGGAGTGATAAATGTACGCCAATTTCCGAATTTTGCAAAAAAGGGCTGTTAAGACCTTTTTTAAACGCGCCTTTATTAATAACAATATTTTAAGTTACAATATATTACTACACAAATTTATCAAATTCTTCGCTGCGTTAAAAAACTTGGCCTCTCTTGCCTCGTGTTCGCCGTAGAAAAAAGAAAAGTCTCCTGCCTTTTCACCTCTTCTTCGCAATGGACTTCTCCCCTTTTGACAGTCGATTTACGAAAGCCAATCAGCGACCGGCACGTAGACAGGGAGTTGACAGTTTAGTTTTTATCGATATCAGATGTTGCCGGATCTTGCTCAACACTCCCCCCTGGTGTAACCTGGCTAGGTTCCACCAACGATTCTACATCAAGAACGGCCAGTTTCGTCGCCGGACTCTCATGTAAGCCAGTTATGGTCTTAACTGTCGCGCTTCTTACCTGTCCGTCAGCGCTTTTACGTACACTGACAACTCTACCCTTGGGCCAGAAATTGCGAGGATGATTAGGATCGACGATAAGCACATCTCCGGTTTCGATGGGCTTAACTTTTTCAAACCATTTAGAACGTCGGGTGATGATTGGAAGGTACTCCCTAAGCCATCATTTCCAAAAGGTGTTGGCCAGTTGTTGAGAAGCGAGCCAGCCTCTACGTAGGAGTGGTCCATCATTGCTGAGTTCTGACAAAGGCTTAGAGCTGATGAAATTGCCAAGGAGAAAATGGTTCGGAGTCAATGCTTCATCCGCATAATGAGATATAGGCATATAGGTGAGTGGACGCGAGTTCACCGTCATTTCGGCTTCCATTAATTCTGCGCGTAGTAGCTCGTCATTGGTTTGTCGACTTCCCAAGGTGTAATACAACACGTCTTTCACTGAACGTACCAACCTTTCCCTAACACCGCCCATGTGCGGTGCTGATGGTGGAATGAACCTCCAGAGCATGTTAGGACTAGTGAAGGCTTTGACTATTTCATTCTTATCCATTAGCGCGAATACCGTCCGCAATTCTTTCTCGGTCGGACCCTTTAAAATTTGTACCATTGTCGCTCCAGATTTCAATGGGATTGCCTCGTCGGGCTATGAAATTACGAATTGCAAGGATGCAGGAGTCTGTTGAAAGAGTATGCGCGATTTCAATATGAATCGCTCTCGTCGTGAGGCACATAAATAATACCCCGTACCGCTTTTCACTACTTCTCCTTATCGATACCATAAAAGGTCCGAAATAGTCAACGCCCACGTACGTAAATAGTCGACAGAATGCAGAAACTCTAGCCGAGGGTAGTTGTCCCATTATCGGAGGTTTTGGTTTCGCCTTGTTCAACTTACAGCGCTGACATTGCTTTTGAACTTCATTAACGACTACTCTTAGCCGCGGCACCCAGTATCGTTGTCGTACATCGTTCACTACTATCTCTAAATTCCGATGGCGATATTTCGTGTGGAAGTCAGCCCCAATCAAGCGCGTCATTCGATGACTCTTGGCGAGGATTAACAAACCGTTTCTATCTTTTGAAGTTAAGCGCGAGCCAAGTCGCTTAATGTTGTTTCTATCCAGATATGGGGATAACTTGTAAAGTGAGCTGGATCGTTCAACGTACTTCACATGTTTAAGGGAATATATTTCGTCTTTGTAAGTATCGAACTGCGCCTGCCTCCTCAGCATTATTTTGGCCAACTTGAAGTCTTCAGTTCGCGGTGTACGATAGCTGCTTACACCATCAATGCCCTCAGGATGTGGTCTGACGCGGCTTAACAAAATTTTGGCACTGCATACGACTGCTGCAGTCATGGTTAAAAGTCGACGCCAGTATGAGTAACGATTTGGGTCCAATGCAATAAATGCATTCAACCGTCCTTCATGATGTGTCCCAACGTACTGGGCACGAAGCTCTACTGTAGTTGCGGCTCCCGGTGAGAAGGACTCTACTGGCCAATTTTTTTCCTCCAGCTTCAAAAACGGTGTACCATTAAACCAGCGAGTTTCAAACTGACCTCAGGAGCTTTCTTCCACTTAGTAGCCTCATCAGCTAAGTTATCGTTTGTTGATATGCAATGCCGTTTAATTGGTTCGGTAGTCTCAAGAATTTCACTAATTCTGTATGAGACGAATTGTTGGTAGCGACGATGGTCACTGTTGATCCAGGAGAGAACTGTGCGTGAGTCCGTCCAAAAATAACATTGCTTGATTGAAACCGAGTGTGCCTCTATGATACTCTTCGCCAAGCGAGCACCCAAAATCGCTGCTTGCAACTCCAGCCGAGGAATCGTTAGCATTCTGATTGGTGATACCCTTGTTTTTGAGGCAACGAGTGTACAATTAACGAAGTCATCCTCGCAGTATCTAAAATAACTCACAGCTGCATACCCTTTTTCGCTTGCATCCATAAACGTGTGCAACTATAAGTTAGGATATTTGGTTAAATTTGGGTGAATGTAATATCTGGGGATTCTGATTCTCTCCATATTCGGAAGAATTTGTATCCACCGAAGCCAATTCGAATATAACGCATCAGGGATTTGTTCGTCCCAGGGAAATCCGCTTCACCAAATATCTCGCAAGAGTACTTTTGCGTACATAACGAAGTACCCAATGAGGCCCAGGGGATCGAATATGGTCATAACAAGGCTTAATACCTCCCTTTTAGTAGGCCACCGACTTGTGCGTATTAGGTCACTGCCCCGCTTGTGTTCGGACATCCTAAATGTAAGACTGTCATCCATAGTCGCCCACCACATGCTAAGCACCTTTTCATGACCGTCATAATATACGTTGTAGGTTGTTGAGCCCCTGGATCATACCAAAGAAAACTCTGGTAGTTTTGATCTTCCGACCTAATAAGCACTTGGTGGAACATTTCCGCTATGTCACCACCAATTGCAATCTTTCGCTGGCGGAATTTGAACAATATTGATAAAAGTGATGTTAGCTGATCAGGGCCTTTTAAAAGTACTGCATTTAATGATACGCCGTTGACCTTAGCGGCTGCGTCCCAAACTAGGCGTACTTTATTGGGTTTGTTGGGATTCACAACGGGAAACACAGGCAAGTACCAGTATTTTTTAGCATTTTCTTCTTCGGGTAGTAATTTACGCACGTATCCCTTTCTGCAATAGTCCTCGATTTTCGCTTTTAAAGTTTCAAATAGCTGAGGATCTCGATACATTTTAGAGCGCAAACATAGTGCTCTTCGTTTAGCCATAGGTAAACTATCGGGAAGTGATAATTCAGAGTACTTCCAGAGTAGGCTGGTTTCATATACGTTTGGTAGACTCATCAAGCTGTTTCAATGCTAGTTGGTCGTGTTTGGACAAACTAGCTGCGGATTTAGCGGCAACTCCAACAAATTGTCCAAACAAATATAAGCTTTGAGGGTTTTCAGAAGGTTAACGCAGGCAGACTCTTCGCAGTCGCATACATGAAAAACATGCTGCTCGCGAGAAACAGCTCCATTTGACAATAGCCATTTCACGGTCCAGCCGATGCGGGTTTTTACAGCGATTGGCTCCGTCAAGTTTCCAATGCGGATTTTGGTTGGCGATGTTAAAGCACTGTTGTTTAGGCCAATAAGAAGTTTTGGTCGCATATTATAGTACGACTGCAGTGGAAGATTTTGTAGAGGCTTATAATTTGCCTTGAGTGTAGCGACGTCGAGCGACTGGGATGGTAGTTTCAGCTCTCGGATGGTATGCACATATTTAAGGGTGAATCGCTTCCCACCTGGTGACGATAACAAAATATCGGCCACTACCGAATCATCCTCGTAGCGATGCGTGTCACCAGTCCATCGTAAACATAGCGATCGCTTTGTGCCTTCTATTTCCAGCTCGTCTTGTAATTCTTCATCTATATAACCGAAGAACCATCGTCAAGGAACGCGTACGTCAACACAACAGGCACAATACGAAAGAGTATTTCGTTGTTTTTGATTATATGAGTGTTTACTACATTGGTCGTAACATGAGCTGGAAACTTATGCAACAGTGGATGATGTTTCAATTGGCACCCATCCATATTGCAAACGATTTTCGCTCTGAAATTAAACGGACTGTGTTGATGTAGGCATCGGCGACATATTTTGTGAGCCCGCACTATTTCCCACTTATCTGCTCGTGACATGCCCTTGAAGGAATCGCAATGAAATATCGTATGTGAACTAGATTTGCAAACGATACAGCTTACCAATTTGTGGTCCTTCTTTCCCTCGGAATGAATATGTAACACACCACGCTTGCGTTCCTTCTGCGAATTGGGTATAATAACGCTGTTGGCACCTTGGGCCAGCTGGTCAACCATTTACTGAAATTTTCCAGATTGCTTTCGGTCAGTGACAATTTGTGCATTCCCCAGAACGCTTGAAATATGGCGGGCAGCTTAGATACTAATTTCTGTTCCAGCTCTGGGTTAGATGCGCAAACATTTTGCACTTCAAGCGCAAAGTTTACTAAGCTCTCCAAATTATCCGTCGTTTGGGGTGGCATGTTACGGATTTGGTCAAGCAAAACGTTTATTATAAGTTCAGGCCGGCCAAATTTCATTTTTAATGTTGAAATTATTTGTGGACCGCACTCTGAATACAGCAATAGATTTTTCACTGATTGCCGAGCTGCTCCTTCTAAATCCTTTCGGAGTCTGATCACACTCTCGTCCTGTGAGAATCCACATATTTCGGTGGTTTGGTTGTAGGTCGCCAAGAATAAAGGCCACTCTTCCGGTCTACCGCTAAACTTTGGTAGCTCTTTGCCTACACTAGTGCGCGCAGCAAGTTGATTACGCGTCAAGTGACGATGATTTGCTGTTTGCGATACGCAATCCATAACATTTTGCTCGACTAGACTGTTGCTTGCTGTATGGCTGGAAGCGGCGTTTGTTGGACCTATGTTGGGTAACCACTGCAAGTTTATTGGCGGCGGATTATGGTGCTTCTGCACGTCTTTTAGATTATTTGTTTCAATAGTTTTACCATTATGACGCATTTCTGCATGCTGCTTCAATGGCACAGTTTGAGTATAGCATTCTGCCTCATCGGAGCGGCTATCAGAACTCATTAGCTCCATACGTCGCAGGAGTTATTTTCGTCTATTCAGGAGCTCCTGCCGTTGTTTAAGAATATGTGCTTCTTCCATTAAGATCTGTTCTTCGACTATCCAACGACTTTTACTAGCTACTGATGCGCGTGATGGTTGTGCCGGACTCGGAGGCCGAGATACCCGTGCATCAGGATGCCTCAACTCGCTGGGCCAATGTGGCGGTGGTTGAGCATCCTCGTCTTTACCCGGATCGCATGGTGTTGTGTCAGTATCGAAGCTACTTTTGCCAAGTTGCGGACCTGCTGTTGGCAACAAGGGGATAGGATCAGCGTTATTTTTAGCAAATAACGATTTCTCTAGTTCTAGATTGTCTATAAATTTGTTGTGAATATTAGCTACCACGGTTGATATTTGGGCTATATCAGATGTACCCACAGTCCCGGTTGTAGCATCTGTCGTGCGAGGGGCAGATGCGCCAGTGTCTGGCTCCGCTGAAACTTCGGCAGCAGAACAGGACCGGCAGACCCACTGTCGTCTATTCACGGTGTTGCTTACGTCCGCACATTTTCTATGAAATTTACGACTGCATTTCGTGCATCGAATCATGTGCGGATTATCGACTCTAGTACAGAGACTGCAATTGCAGCTTTTCATATCAGCCCCGGTTATCCTTTTTTCATCTGACATATTTGCTCCAGACAAGTTTTTTAAGATGTTAAGACCTTTTTAAACGCGCCTTTATTAATAACAATATTTTAAGTTACAATATATCGAGCCCTAGCCGCCAAAATAACGTAAGCGACATTTTTTTCAAAATTTTCTTTTTGATGCAGAAATATTCCTAGAGCATCTAGATGCTTTTCTGAATCAAAAATAACATATTGAAAAAAATGTCGGTTACGTTATTTTGGCGGTCAGGGCTCGATATAACTACACAAATTTATTAAATTTTTCGCTGCGTTAAAAAACTTGGCCTCTCTTGCCTCGTGTTCGCCGTAGAAAAAAGAAAAATCTCCTGCCTTTTCACCTCTTCTTCGCCATGGACTTCTCCCCTTTTGACAGTCGATTTACGAAAGCCAATCAGCGGCACGTAGACAGCGAGTTGACAGTTTAGTTTTTATCGATATCAGATGTTGCCGGATCTTGCTCAACAAGGGCATTGATGAATTGATGGATCGCGCACGAATGCTACATGTCCAATATTTATCGCGTCAGTATTTGCATAGTTTTTGTGCTGAACGCTTATTATGATGCAAGAAAATATTTTTATTTTGTAAGAATAATTTGCAGATTATGCATTCCACAATTATTTTAAAATTTCCCATGTTAATTAAAATTTGTTCAATTTGTATTGAAAGGTTTTAAGCAACGAGAACGAAAGCATAGCGAATACGTTTTCGGGGCTCGCATTATGAGAGTACAAGATACACTGACGAAATGTATGGATCGTGTAAGAAACGATGTCTCCTTTGATTCGTGGCTCCGGGCGATAAATAAAACTCTCCAATTTTGCTTATTGTGACGCACAAATATAATGCTTGATGCGTTTTATTTCCTTTAGGAAGTATAAAAATTAGTACAAATTAACAAAATGAACAATTACTTACACTTTGGTGTGTTCTTCCCGGTATGTTAGCCACGAATGCCGCTATTTTCACAGCACATAATGGCTAACACCTCGGTTACATTTTTTTGGCTAAGCGTTGCCACATACATACGTTTTTACAAAAATCAGAAATACATTTATGGTTGCCAACATACCAAATTACAAAGTCTTTATATATAACCGCCATATAACTCTTCGTGAAGGTGTGGCGTTTGTTCCGAGTTTGGAGTACCTAAGAGAAAATGGTTAGGGGTTAGCGGTTCGTCAGTGTGTTCGTCCAATGGTATATGCGTCAACGGTCGTGAGTTTACTATATTTTTGCTTCGCATATGAGACTATATAAGCAGTGCTCCTGAAGGTTGTCGTTGTTTAGCGCATGTCCCATGGCTCTTTTCACGCTACGGACGAGTCGCTCCCAGCAGCCTCCAGCATGGGGATTCAGGGGGCAATTAAATACCCATTCAATGTTTCTATTCGCCAATGCGTTAAATATTTTTCCATTTTCGAAGTCTATTCTCTGCCGTCTCAGCTCTTTGTCCGCTCCAACGAAGTTGGTGCCGTTGTCTGACCGGATGCGTACAGGTGCTCCTCGCCGATTCATGAAATTGCGTATGCACATAAGACAGGTATCAGTCGAAAGGTCTTTAGCAAGTTCTAAATGCACTGCCCGGATCGTGAGGCAGGTAAACAACGCGATCCAACGCTTCTCGCTTCGCCTACCAATCGCCACGGTGAACGGTCCCATGTAGTCTAAACCGACATATGTGAATGGCCTTACGCACGGTGTGAGTCTATCCACTGGAAGCTGCCCCATTTGAGGAGGATTTGCCTTTTTACAATAGTTACATCTTTTGGTAGCACGACGCACCTCAGCTCTGATTTGCGGTATCCAGTATCGCCGTCGTATCTCCGCGATTATGGTGGCTACGTTTTGGTGTTTCCAGATGTTATGGTAGTAGTCTACTATCAGCTCAGTGACGTGGTGACGTTTAGGCAGGATTATCGGCCGACGTGAATGCGGAGGGATAGCGGTGGCAGCATCTATTCGTCCGCCTAATCTCATCACACCTACCTCATCTACTACTGGTGTGAGTGTTTTCAGCGAGCTGCTCCGTTCTATCTTCCTTCCGGCAATCAGGGAATGGTACTCCTCAGCAAAAATGTCGATTTGAACCGCACGGATTATCGCTATTTCCGCTCGCCTTATTTCCGTAGCGCTTAGTCCTTTGTAGATTCTTGCGCTCGCGTTCTTCCAGCAGTTGTTTCGAAACCGCAATATCCAGCCTACCACCCTGGTCATGCGTATAAGCGTTGAAAATCTTGCGAACATGGAAACGTCGACCTTTATCGTCAGCACCGCATATTTTGCGCGAATTTCTTCGTTCGTATCTAAGGGAACCTCGTCCTGCGGCCACATGAACTCGTCTTCTTCTAGGAACCTTGGCCCGTCAATCCAGGTCGATTTCCCTGTTTTGGAATCACTCCACATTACCACTCTCTTTGGGATCTTGTCATGGCAGTGAAGGATGCTCTGCCGAAGTCGTGTAGCCAATACTGCTGCCTGCAGCTCGAGACGGGGAATGGATGTAAGTTTCAACGGTGCGCATTTAGTTTTTCCTGCAATAAATATAGGTTTAATGATACCTGCTCCAGCTAACGTCCTCCAATACGCTACTGCAGCGTAGGCTACTTCGCTCGCGTCCGCAAAAATGTGCAATTCGACTGGTTCCTGTTCAAACAGTGTCCCGTAGCATCGCGGCACGCTCATTTCTTCCGGACGCTTGATACCTCTTACCCACTTTAGCCATTCGTCATATGATTCCTCCGGAATATACTCGTCCCAACCGATACTGGCACGCCAAGTAGACTGGATGAGAAGCTTCGCTTCCCTGGTGTATTCGCCAGCCATTCCGAATGGATCAAACACGGACATTGTAACACTCAGTACTTCGCGCTTTGTTGGTTTCCTCTTGCCGGCGAGCACAACTGGATCCACCTTCGTAAACGACAGCACAAATCTCAGAACGTCATTATTAGTATCCCAGTGTAAGCCAAGCACTTTCTGAAAAAGGCCTGCGTTGTCTCTATCCAGATTTACACAAGACGAGTGCGTTTCCTCTTCATTCATCTTCTTAGTGAGCCGTTCAGAATTGAATACAAATCGCCTTAGTTCAAAACCCCCTTTTTTGTGTACATACGCTACCTGCTCAGTTACTCGGATGGCTTTCTCTACAGTGGACAAAGTCGTCGACGTAATGGTTGCCGACTATGGCCTCGACCGCTTCGGGAAACCGTTCTCTAAACTCCTCCGCGTTTTTGTTCTTTACGAACTGTGCCGAGCTTGGCGAGCATGTGACTCCAAACGTCATCACGTTCATAACGTATACCTCGATGGGGCTAAACACCCCTCGGTTCTCCATAGAAAACGTTGTGCTGCTTGATCCTCAGCGCGTATCTTTACTTGGTGGAACATTTCCACTATGTCCGCACATACGCCCACCGGCTTCTGTCTGAATTTCATTAAAATGGTTGCTAGAGATTGATTAAGCTCCGGTCCACTAAGCAGCACCGAGTTTAGCGAGACGTTGTCGACTTCGGCCGCCGCGTCGAAAACTAGTCGCATCTTTCCTGGCTTATTCGCATTCCAAACTCCGAAGTGGGGTAGATACCAGGTGTGCTTCCCTCCGGCCGCAATTTCATCCGCTGTCAGTCTTCTTGAGTACCCTTTTTCTTCGTATTCTTTCATTACCCGAACATATGCTGTCTTGAGGTCATTATTGCGTTTAAATCTCCTTTCCAGAGCTAACAACCTGTTTTCTGCCATTGGCCAACTATCTGGTAGTTCTACATTATCCTGCTTCCAAAGTAAACCTGTCTCGAAGTTAGAAACCCTTTCTCACGGTCGTGCTCTCAAGCAACTCTTTAGCTCTGACTATTTCTGCAGCTTCACAGTCCTGCACCCCTTCGCGTACACTAAGACCTTCGTTGATTAAATAATCGCTCACCATGCGCTCTAGCCTCTCCAAACCATTATCGTCCACTTTAGCAAAGTGCACGTAGTTACACCGTTCGCCAACGCCTCGATTCCTGCCTCCGTATACAATCCATCCGAGCTTAGTAAGTGTCACCGAGTAGCCATTCACTCCATCATCAACAGTCTTCCTTGAGATGCTCAAGTGTGCGTTGTCTAACCCGACCAACAGTTCAGGAACCGCTCCATCGTATCTCTTGATCGGCAAGTTACGATATTTATACGGCACCTCTGACAGCTGGAGTGTCTGTGCCGGCAGTTGAAGGTTGTTCACCGTTCTGACATTCCGCAACAAAAACTTTTTATTGAACCTACCGACTCCAGATATATGTACATCGACCCTGCTGGACTGCTCGGTTACCGTAGTGTCCCCAAACCATTGCAGCGTCAAATTTTCCTGCTGCCCTTTAAGACCGAGGCGACCAGCCAAGTCACTGTTCGTCATCGATATGGCCGAACCATCATCGAAGAGAGCAAAGCTGTTTATAACTCGACCGTTGCCGTACAACCGAGCTGGCAATATTTTATATAGCAATTTCGAACATGGATTTGGTATAATGGCACTGGTGAGAACTTGTTGTCTTTTTGCTGCTTCCGATGAACGCTGCCTGTTCGCCATTTCCTGCCGCCTAGCATGTAGTGGTTCGTGCTGCTTCTTCGTGCACCCGTTTATGTTACAATTATGTTGCTCGGTGCAGTTGTTGCTACTGTGCCCACTCCTCAGACAATTAAAGCACAATCGTTTTTGCCGAACCAACCGCCATCGTTGACCCCACTGCATATCCAGAAACCTCTTGCACCTGCTTATTACGTGCTCACCTTCACACACCACACATATTCTCCTACCGCGATTGCCACCGTTGAGGTCCTGGGTGTGAAAGAAGCGCGTTCGACCATCCACTCTTCCGCTCTGCCTGTGATCTGTGTTTGTATTAACACAAGCACTTGCCACCAACCTCGAAAGCTCTTGCAACCAGTCGCTGAAATGGCGTATGTTCGGCCTCGGTACTATCGTCAAGGCATGCCGGGCCCTGTCGATCCTCTTCTGCACTGGCAACTTCGCCAACAGTTCATCCATGAGTGTCGGGTTAGCTAGGTGATGGTCACAATTAGCCGACTCCAAAAACGATGCTAAGTTTTGCACCTTAGTGGCGAATGGCACTATTTGCTCGATGCGGTTTTCATGTATTGGCGCTACACCTTGTATTTTCGCGATTTGACTTTTTACCAGCTGCTCTGGTCTACCGAAGCGATCTTCCAGGGTACTAATAACGCGCGGTACGTTACTACTATGAATTAAAAGACGCTCTACTACCTCTCTTGCCTTGCCTTTAACAGCCTTTTGCAAGCGCATCATGTTTTGTCGCTCACTGTAGCGATATTCATTCGTTGTCATAGTAAATGCCTCTTTGAACATGGGCCAGCCTTCAGGACGCCCATCAAATTCTGGAAGATCGTACAGCTTACGCCCTTGACCAGATCGCGTATCTGCCAATGTTCTATTAAGATCGCTCAATACGTCCGCAAGCGAGCCGTTAACGCTTTCAACTCCCACGTTGCTAGGTGCTCTAGAGGCTCCCGCTAATATTTCTTGCTGTCTTTCTTGGCTCCGCCTTATCTCCGCCTGTAGCTCCTGCATCTGCTGCATCATCATGTTTAGTTTCGCCTCCATTGTCGTCTGCTGACTGTCAACCACTTCCACTGGTTGTTGCTGTATCGTTGTGTTTAGCTCGTCCAACCATTCGACGTCGCCGCCTGTCGCACTGCCTTTACTGCCGGAACGCGTGTTTGGCATGACTATGTTTACCACTGGCTCTTTTTACAAAAAATAAAATTTTCTGGCTGGAAGCTCTTAACGCTTGAAGTTGTGACTCGTTGAGGCTACCACCGGTGATGTCTAATACAATTATCAAGTTCGCAGTAGAGAAAACAAATGCCGGAGTTGAGACGTACGCCTAGTTCCACCGCAGTCCGAAACCTAATAAGCAGACGTCTAGCTTTATCTGGTCGCCAACTCGTGGAGGCAAAAAAAAAAAAATGTGCATGAGCTGAGACGTGGATAAAAGGGCAGACCAGCAACCATTCGACAAACGATTAGCTTTATTTTCTTTAAAAAAATCGCAAAGGCAACAAAATTTACGTATGGTCTCGAGACGTAATCCAATTAGCAAGGCAGACCAACAACCATTAACGAGAAATTTGTTATGTTTTATTAAATCGCAAGTAAAAATGTATATATGCTGTGAGACGTAGATCGATGTTTGAATCCGCAGACCAACGGTCGAGTAAAAACGCTGTTTTATTTTTAAGTCGTAAAAAATGTTTGTTTAAAACTTGAAGAAATATGTATAAATCCGCACCCCAAGGGTCATAAAGTAATTAAAACGCTGGCTCGTGAAGTTGAAATCGCATAAAATATTTTACATAAAACATGAATATATATATCAGCCTACCCACCAGTAATCGCTAAGCAAACGCTGGCTTATTTGCAAAAATCGTAAAATGTGTATCTATAACGTAAAAGACAATGCTTCAAATTCGCTGATCAATAATCATTCCTCAATCTGTCTTTATATTTTGCAGCAATAGTTCCATATTCGCATTCAATTTGCATTCACATACATATGTATGTGCTTTTTTTCTAATGGCGCAATTTTAGGCTCACCCTAACTCATAAAATGTCTTCTGTCTCACACGATGTGGCTAACTGCTTTCTATGCTCCGTTATTTTCACCGACCGTTAACCGTATGTCTTTCTAATAACCTTGACTAAGTCACACTGGACAAACCAACCCCTTTACATAATCTCAAAGGTACTCACCTGATGTCCAAAACGCTAACTGTGGAACTTGCGGGATGCTCCCGTGCTTATCCTTGCAACTGCTTTGCTTAAAACAAGGTAGACATCGAAATAAAGCGGCGCTTTAATGCTGGCGCTTGAATTTGCACAACGCTGGTGGTGAAGCCGGTGAATGTTAGGTGCTCCACTTGAAATTAGGTATGCACTCCCTGATGGTGGAACTTATAAAATGCTGGATATATATGCGTAGCTCGCAAAACTTGGGTAAAGCTGTTCATGCGCCTCCAATGGCGCTTCACATAATCGGGCGCTGCGACGGTGGTGAAACAAAAAACTTTTCCGCTTGCAAAGTGAAATAAAAACTTGTAAGAAACGATGTTTCCTTTGATTCGTGGCTCCGGGCGATAAATAAAACTCTCCAATTTTGCTTATTGTGACGCACAAATATAATGCTTGGATGCGTTTTATTTCCTTTAGGAAGTATAAAAATTAGTACAAATTAACAAAATGAACAATTACTTACACTTTGGTGTGTTCTTCCCGGTATGTCAGCCACGAATGCCGCTATTTTCACAGCACATAATGGCTGACACCTCGGTTACATTTTTTTGGCTAAGCGTTGCCACATACATACGTTTTTACAAAAATCAGAAATACATTTATGGTTGCCAACATACCAAATTACAAATATATAACCGCCAAGCCGCGCCAACAGATCGCGTTAATATTTATTGACGATATTGCGATCTGCGACAGTGATGGAAAATCAAAATTTAAAATTGTGCCGAATTTCTCCGGAAAAATGTGCCTAAATTCAGGTCAATGTGCCAATAAATTGAAAGGAAATAGGTACCACTTTTCTTATAAAATATAGTTGCGTTCCAGATGCTTTACGATTTGCAGGAAAGGCTGTTTTCTCCATTAATAAACCTTATGGAAGGTGGTCACCTGGAACGGCTTCCTGTAAAATCCTGCAAATCGTGAAGCATCTGGAACGCAACTTATATATACAGGACTTATTGCGTATAAGAGGAAAATAAATCTCACGAATACCTTTCTTTAATGCAACAACAAAAACCATAAAAATCAACGTTTGAAACTTCCAACGAAAAATGTTGATTCAAATTTAAAACTTTGTTGTCAGAAGTTTAAAACTTTCGGGTATTTAGTTTTATAGTCCATTCAATTTTAGGATTATAAAGTGCAAGTGTGGCTAAGAATTCGCGTTGATTTTTAATATTTTCTTTTTATTTTTTTTTTGCATTTTGTTTATACATATTGGATGTACAAAAAATTTGAGTATGAAAGAAACAGTGCAACACCTTCAACGAAAAAGTTCTAAAAAATCAACACGAATTGAATGGACTATAAAACTGCATACCCGAAAGTATATGTAGTTTTCAAAAGAATTTACGTATGAACAATAATCATCGCTCAATCATTAACCCTGAATTACGAATTGTAAAAATATTTATTCCTAAAGTATTTGCTGATTACAATGCCCAGCTTGCGCAAACTTACATGTGACTACCATTGTGGT